TCTCTCTCTCTCTCTCTCTCTCTCTCTCTCTCTCTCTCTCTCTCTCTCTCCTCTCTCTCTCTCTGTCAGTAAATTATTTTTAAACAAACAAACTTTAAAAATAGAAATTACTATCATGGTTTTCACTTTCCATAAAATGTTTAATCTTATTATTTAAAAGAGAAATGGGAAGTGTTATCTTTCCTTTACTCTAAAATATATGAAAGTTCTTTTAAAACTTTGTTTACATAAATAACTAAGAAGATTCTCGAAATCATCAGAGCTCAAACTGAAGTAAATTTTGGCAATGAAACTGGTGAGCACTTCCTGCCTGCTGTGTAGCCCCTGGTAACTCAGGCTTCCTTTGCAACAACAGAACATACAGAGTACTAAAGATAAGGCCCTGGGCCTAACATGCTTTTACAGTTCAAAGAGAGACTTCATGAGCCAATGACTTCACGGGGCCATAGCCTGAGAAAACGCATACCACAGAATAAATCCTATACCATTAATGTGACTTTCCTGTGAGTTGAATAGAATTGAAAGTAAAAATGTAAATACATTTCTCATAGGAGAAAAATTTAAATTTTAGAAAGAAATACATATGTTGTCCATGAAAATCTTATGTGCAATTATCAACACTTAGCCACTGGAAAATTGATGAAAATTTAATGACACAAAGTTTACAATGTCCTACTTTTATTTTAAAATAAATTATTAGCAACATAATGGAAGGCAAAAGAACATGGAACATTTATTTATCATACTTCCTCTTAATCAAAAATTCCTAAAATCAACAAGAAAATCAAAACAAGTTTCTCAATAGAAAAAATGGCCAAAAATATGAACAAGAATTATGTTAGAAAGGAAATTTTAATAGCCAAGAAAGGACAGTGATAACAAATGTCTTTAGTAATATGAGGCATGAGAAACACAACACACAGTGCCATAAGGGAGCACCTATATTCACTAGTAAGAATGACATTTTTAACAAAATTTTATAGGTTTTGCAAATATAGAAAAAACTGGAAACCTTCAAGCATAAATGATGGGAGTCTGAAGTGTTACAACTTGGAAAACAATATAAATTATCTACAAAAGTTAAGATGGAAATATATGATGAAATATACCGGCTTCATTTGATTTATCATAAGAAATATATACCAGCATGACCCATCAATATGTTTGTGAAAATTAAATTGTGTGTGTGTGTGTGTGTGTGTGTGTGTGTGTGTGCGCGCGCGCGAGCATAAAACTGAGCAAAACTCTGTGGACTACCCTAAAAGAGAGCTAGGTATTCCACAAGAGCCAATCTTAGTGAGCAAGTCTCTATATATCACCATCAGCCAATAAAAAACAAAAACAAAAACAAAATGTAAAGGGAGAGAAAGAACAGTACAAGGTCAGTATTTTTAAAAGACTATCAAGAACTTATTTATTTATTCATTCAAATGGCCACCTCTATTTGCAGGCTGCTTATGTATCCCTTTTCCATGCCATCCTAGTCATACAGTCTTCTTACCTGCTTTAGACAGGGAGTTTTTGTTTTCCCCTATGCCAGGAAAGTCTAACTCAAACTTGGATTGCTAGTACACTTGAAGGAATGCCCCAGTAGAAAATCCCAAAGGCAAATGCTCCTGTAAATCTCAGTCTGCAGAAGCATGACAAGCCAATCATCTGCATGTCTATGCAGTTATGTTTGTTTCCAAACATGAATCCCAGGACCAAGCCATTTTACTATGCAGGCTAGAGAGTATAAGGGACTTGGCAGTTATAGATCTTGTAAGAACAGCTCCAAAACCTGTACCTAGATATGTTTGCTGCTTTGGAGGCAGAAGATGAATGTCAATTATTAGAAGATGCCTTCAGTTTTTGAATCTAAAATGATGACATAATGAACATTCTTTAGGCAGCTCTTATAAAAACTAAATGAGATAGTTCAACAACTGGTGCCATATAGACTATGAAGGGCTTTGATAGTAAAAGATCATGACCATAAACCATTATGAAGTATTGTTGCATCATGTGTTTGCTGAAGAATTATAGCACTGCTGGTGTTATTATTGTAGTTCAAGTTATCTTTGAAGATAGTGATAACTAGGCTAAGGAATAGGAACAGGGATAAAGTAAAGAATATTTTTAAAAGCAGTTTTATTACATCATCAAGAGTAGGTGTTTATTTCAGACGGAGATTGGGAGAAGAATTCACAGTCTCAAAACTTAACACTGTCAATTATCCTAAAGGGATCTATCACAGAATCAGGGTCAGATTCAGTCTATAGAGGACTAGAGAGAATCTTTTAAATCTATATAGGCATTGATCAATAGCCATGGGTATACTTCCAGAAGCTTCTGAAAAGAAAATGTGACATCAATCTCATACAATCTGTCATTTTTCTGAAAAGAATTGTTTCAATGTATGGCTATGTTTCTACAAACCTCCCTTATTTTGTGCACAACTATTGAATCTCATCTTTATACATGGAGAGTTGGGGATGCATTACAACCAGCCAATAGATTCCTGAAATCTTTGAGAAATAACAAATTCTAGACAAGCTGTATGTACGTGGGTTGGTGCATAGTCACAACATGATAAGGTATCAAATATTCACCTTTGACATAAAACAAGTAAGTATACTTCGGCTTCTTTTAGTACATATGAATTGCCATCTTAACTATGTTTCAAGTAGCATAGTTATTCAATAAGCATTCTATGAA